GCAGTTTTAGCATGCTCACCAGTAAAAAGTAATAGCTCTAAGGAGGCAAGCAGAGCTGTCAGCAGGGTGGAAAAACCATAGATTGTGCATAAAGACGGATGACGTGACAGCTCCCTGAAGTGAAGCCAACCAGAGTCGAACACCACCTGGCGGCTGGTTGCAATAAAGGTCACAAGCCACACCCCCTCCACGTTAGCAGAGGGAACATGAGCCTGATTGTAAAATTACTTAATGGCTTCTACAATGCATCTTCTGTAATTAAATTTATTATAAACTTCCCCATACAGCCTACTTTTATTTTCATATTTGTATATTTTCATAATATATCCTTAATAACATGACATCATTATAAGGATTAACTGACCGACCCCCACACGAGTGCTAACTGCTGCTGAGTCACCACTGAGCCGACGCAGGACGCCCTTCGTCGCTGGCTTCTCATGTTTCTCTCGTTCCTGATTTTCCATCTCAGCTGAGTGTCCAAGCGTTTCACTGGCTCATTGTGTATGTACACTATGTATTTACTGCATTATGAACGTGCGTATACACTGTATGAAATGTAAGTCAAACCCATCTCCCTGTTCACAGCCAGCTTTCTGATGACAGTGATGGAGTTACAGAAACATTTTAGCCCTGTGCGACATATATTTTCCACACTAATCTGACTAATAAAATGACTCTGACTCTGCGTAGTGTGATTTCACTAATAAGTCGACATTTATAATGTTCAGCCGGTAGTTGGAAGGCAATTTTTTAATTCCACAGTTAATAACAGAAAAGCATATCCTGATGGTGTTTCTGTCCAAGTGGCTCAACATTACAAAATTAATTTGTTAGGACAAGGAAAATGAGAATATTCAGTAACTTTGAAGCTTGTACTTTAAAAACATTTTATAGTGTATTCCCCTATCTTTGAATAGAAGTAGCTGTTTAGCCCTGTTTTAAGACTGTATGCTGAGCTACGCTATTCACAGCCTGACTCCAGCTCCGTACTAAACGTGCGGACATGAGACGGAGTGAAGTTCTCTGCTCATTCTTGAAGGCTTTTAACAGCAGCAGCTGGTGGCAACAACAGGTCAGGGCTGCATCTAAATGCTGAGAAATTCTTACTTCTTTATTCTCTGTTTAATCTGTGATGTTCCAAGGTTTTATTTTTCCAAAATATGCACAAAAACTGTCCAGAATGAACCAACTGTCACAACAGATGAATGGGAAACGTGGAGAAGGACGTGAGACACACAAACGGTTGTGTTGACATGATCTGATCTATATTCCCTCTCTCACACACACACACACACACACACACACTCTTACTGGAGACGGAGGTTTGGGGCTCCTGCTCGCTCCTTCCTCCTCTTCATCGTGTGTCCCAGGACTAAAGGCTCAGCTGTAAGCTTTAATAATCCACCACACTGCAGCAGCTCCTCTGTCCAACAACTGCACACTGTTGTGACGAGTGAGCGGCTCCTTACAGGGCCAGAACCCGTCCCGCAGTTAGTCCATGAGTCCAACCGCTCACTGCACTTTGACCAGTGTTTGCTTTGGCGTACATTACGTCAGCACCAGCTCCTATCTACACACAGACTCACACACAGTTATGTGAGGTATCTGGGGGAGAGAGAGTTCCTTCAACAGTGAGCGCAGGCTCTCTGAGTCACAAACACACACGTGCAGACCAAACACACACTTCTGTCAGCTCAGTGTACACTACACAGCAACACGTTTGGGACTGCCACTTGCCATGTCGCCTATAACAAATCAGAGTAAGTTAATCATCTGCACACCCCGTCTTCTTCTCCTCGCATACAAATAATCCAAAACACACAGACAGGACAGCAAGTTCCATCATGTCTGATAAGGAAGACGAAACTGGCTGCTCAAAGTGGAGCCTCAGCTCCCGCCACCGGTCAAGCAGACAGCAGGTGCAGAGCAACGCTCCTGCCTGCACCCCCCAAGGAGCCCAGAGCTCAGTCGGCCCAGTTAATCCCCATCAGTTCCTGGAACCATCTGATCGCTGTGATCAAACTGGCCACTGTCAGCTGAGGGGACTGACCGAGCCCTCGACAGCCAACGTGAGAGGGAGGAGGGTGAGAGAGGAGGAGGAGGAGGGACGCATCACATGATCTCTTTACCACTTCACATTTTATCTATAGCGGCTCTAAAGTTTGTCACCACAGTTTTTACAAAGGAAACAAGGCGACCTTCAGGTACTCGCTCATGTAGAAACAGAAACGATGGCGGCTAAGAAACATTTATTAGTTTTGTGGCTTGTTTACAAGATTATTTTTAAAATATGACCCCAGTTTGTACCTGTGTAGGTCGTCAGTGTTATATCAGTAAAGTCTGGGGGTGGGGGGGTCACAATTAGAAGTCTAGATTGAGAAAGTTTCACTTTTAGCCTTTTTTTCTATGACTTTTAAGGAATTTATGAATGCCTTTTAAAATGTTCTTTTAAATGTTCTTTTTAGTTTAAGCCAAGTTTATTACTGAAATGATATTTAAATTACTTTTTATGACAGTTTATTATTGTGACTTTTTAATAACAACCCTTTTCTTAATTGACTTTGTAGGAGAAAATGTTCATTATTAGGTAAAGATTTTACTTTGAATTTTTTAAAACTGCTGTATTTTCAGTATGTTTAATTTAAATATTTTTAATAAAAAAATTTGTTTTGTCACCAAAGAGTTTATTTTAAGTTGATCTTTTTCATTATTTTTAATGTGCTTTTTAAATGATCTGCCTGGCTCCGACATACTGACATGGGGGACGCTGTCCTGACATGATGAGACCATGTGGGAGGTGCAGCTGTCCTCCCTCCGTCTCGGTTCTGGTTTCCAAGAAGCCCGGGGACACTGCTGACCCCGATGGGCCAAATGCAGCTCCCATGCCAGATTGCTAATTCATAAACAATGGATGGGATCACGGCTCTGACTGGGATAGCATCACACGCAGAGTCCACCACTTCTGACCATGTACAGTACAACAGAGTAATACAAGCCCACAGACATAAACGTGGAGCGATTCCTGGGCTGGCGAAGAAGCAGCTGCAGCACATGAGAAACTCACTCTACACCGATCTGAACCAGTGTGCGTGCGTCATGAAACCCGGCTGAGACCCTGACACATGAGTTTCCCCTTCACGATTGATAGAGATCAATAAATTAGTGACACACCCAAGAACGAACAAAACTACTCACTGCTTTTACAGCTCATCGAAGTAGCAACGTCAACAGGTGCAATTCTTAGATCAATAATGTGTTACTAAGTCGTCTGACGTCACTTTCCATCAGCAGCTCTCGTCTTCAGTAACAGCAGTTCAATCGATGACGAAGGATGCCGACTTTCACAAGCTGACTCACAAAGGTTTTGCAGTGGCCGACAAGCTCACAGCAGAGCTTGAAGATCACACAAAGTACCCGTCAGTGCACTCAGAGACACACACGTCCACGCCCTGCGGTTCAGGTCGAAACTTAAGAATCCGACAAAGTCACTCTGTGTTTTCAAAGAGCTACAAGGAAATAAAAGTTTTGGACTGTAGCTATAACTGCAAATTTACACCATCATCATCTCAGTGGCTCTCCAGGGATTTAAAATCCTAATGGAGTCCAAAGATAGTGAACACAGGATTTTCTCTACAGTACACCACAGTGTTAACTTTGAATTACCAACACAAAACTTCTGATTTTAACATAATTTGCTATATTTTCTTCAGAAAGGGTTTGTATGCCAGTCCTACAAACCGTCGAGGGGCCTGTTCTCAGAAGCTTCAGGTGTTGCACACTGCTTGTACTTATGTACAGGTGAGGCTGATTCATGCTGCTGCTCTTGTACTTATGGTACGAGTACTGTAACAGGCTGGTTACAGTACTTGTACCATAAGTACAGGTGAGGCTGATTCATGCTGCTGTCAGTCATGCTGTGAGCACCTCTACATTCCCACCTGGTAATAAACAGGTATGTGCAGTGGCCTGGTTGTGTGCTGACATGTCCTGCCCTCAGTGAAACAGACAACCAGAGAGCTGAGTCCTCCTGGAACCAGGAGATTTTTCACTGTTCCATGTACAGAGTATATCCTGACTATGATCACAACCAGTATCAAATAGTAGTAGTACTTTCAAACTATACATGACAGTAGTATTGTACATGGTAGTGTAATAAACCTGTGGCCTGTATCCTCAACCAGAGCTGCACCTTCTCCTGTTGTCGTGGTGTTTAAGGCAGATCATGGAAACAGGGACACTCCAGACTGACTGAGACACAACCCTCTCTAATACGTTATGATGACAGCGATGGGCCTCATGCGCCACCTGTCTGTCAGAAGAACGACTCTGTCTCTGGCTTTGGTCTTCCAACATGTAGAACATTTTAAACAGAGCAATCAAGGGCGATTTCTAAGCAGTCAATTGGCTGCTGGGCGCACACACTGATATAAATAGGTCTGTATCTATCAACAGTGATGCTCAGCTGTTCTGGTACACACACACACACACACACACACACACACACACACAGAGAGAGAGAGAGAGAGAGAGAGAGAGAAGAGCTCAGTGTCCTTTCAATTTTGACCTTTAACCCTTAACTGGCAGCTCTCTCAATATAACCTGCCCTGAATTAACACCTGAGACAAAACAAACAGCAACCAAGAACATGGTGTTACCCAAGTGATATTTGAAGGACTATTTGTGGCAAACAACAGCAGAGATACTACTGAGAGCATAATTCGATCAAGACACTTGGCACACAAACTACAATTCAACTCATCTACAAGACAGAAACTCAGAGACCTCACAGAGACCTGCTGACAAAAGGGAAATGTTTTAAGGTGGAACAGCAGCTTCTCTGTCAATTTTATTCTAGAAAAAACCTTAAACCACCTTATAATGTATGCATCGCTGTCTGGTTCATTGCATTGCACCTTTAAAGCTTTCCAAACTTTTCCATATTACACTTCCTGAAGAAGCAATGCAGCCAGAGAACACAAGGGATGATGGGTACTTACAAACTGCCTCTTCTGGGAAGGCTCAGCTCCTTCTGGAAGAGAGAAGACAGAGGTTTTTGAGTTATTTGGACAATCTCTGAAAATGGTTATAAACAATCACATGGTGTCACTTAGTTTCTGTCAAAACACTTTTGTCACTACAAAGGTCAGTACAGCTGTTTGACCAGCAGGTGTCACTGTGACGTAACGTGTTCAGGCAGCTTTCATGTGTCTGCTCAAAGGTTTAAGAACACCTTTGTTTTTCTGGTTTCTGTTTTGACATTTAAACATCTGAGGTGTAATAACCTCAAGTGATACACAGCTAAGAAATAAACTGACAGAGGTGAAAATAAATGAGCAAATAAAACTTTTAAACAAATAAAAATGTGTTTAAATGTCATAGAAAACAGGCCTTATCGAGTAACAGCTAAACTTCCATCTTTTCTGCATCAGTGAAGTAAATGAAGCCTTGAAAACTGATGCCAACAGTTCCTACAGGTCCCAACTGTTGTTGATGATTGACAGCAACAAACTGTGTGTACAAAGGCAGAGTTGGAGCAGATTGTGGTACTACACCCTCTGATGCATCATTTGGAAAAAGGCAGTGAACACAGGGAGCTTTTCATGGTTCCATCCTGTAGCTGGAGAGAGAACCACAGACACCTCCAGGCTGTGGAGGAGGAAAGAACAGTGATGGAAGAACAGCACAGGGTCCAGACTGAAAGTGAAACAGCCTACAGGTGCAACTCATCTGTGGGAACATCTGCAGCAGAGCTGTCTGTCCCAACTGTGTCTGATTTCAGCTGTAGAAAGTTACAGTGACAACACCTGGGAACACAGATAACGTCCATAGATTCTTGACCAGTAGTTTACTTGTACAGCCTGTTCTATGAGCTCAGTGGTTTTCAGGATACTTAATCTAATTTTTAACATAAATGTAATGAAATCAGCAGACGATCAAGCTAATTCCACACAGGAAGCTCTTCAGTCTTCACAGATTCTCTGTCCTCTGAACCAGCTTTTCTCATGTCCACATCTGAACTGCACTGCAAGAAGCCTGCTTCACTTCAGAGT